TGTAGTGTAATCACTAACTCAACGATTGCTAATTAGGTCTAAACACGACTCTCACCTGAATACAAAAGGAAATCACGACACTGAGTCCGATCCATGAATGCAGGGAGATCAGATTCGGTAACGGATCGAGTTGTCCTAAACCAACCAATACTTTTTTAATAGCACTTCTTGTCAACCTCTGCTGTCGAAATAGGTTTCACTGCTCAGCCAGCCAGTGGTTAATAAATAAATAAAATTCGAGAGTTAGACTCTGGAAGGTCAAGTCGGAACCCTTCACGAAAAGCGTTTCTAAAACTGTGCTTGCACCCGACGCTATCAGCTTGACCCGCAAATGGAACCTAAAAGCACCGATCCGCTACTTCTCGATCGGGAAATGGATCTTTATTGGTGCAGGAGATCCGAATGGTAGCGACACGCAGAAAAGGCTTCTGCGCGCGGCACTTCTTGGCCGGTTAACTCGGCTTGCTGCAGCAATTTCAGACCAAACCAGTAAGATTTTGAAGCGGACGTCGTCTCTTGCAACGTCGCGTCGTTGCACTTCAGACATCGTGACCGCCATTGAATGCCCGCTCAATGCTAGATGAGATCCTTTCTTGTTTCAGTCCATACATCTATTTCAAAGAATAACCACCGAAATGCAATCGAGTTTACCACTCAGGACTACCTGAGTTAGCCACTTCTTCTTGCTCTACAGGCCCTCGACTGCAATATCGCAGTCTTTCTTACTGCACTTTTACTCTTTTTATGGCTACATTTTGAAGTCATAGTCAGCTTTCCAGTGCTATGGTATTAGCAAAATTATGGTGATTCATAACCTACCACTAGCTTTTCGTAGCTACTGGGTTGTGCTCGGTCTGCTGCCCCATGGCAGCCAGATGAATGCCCCAGCTGCCATTTCTTCGTCTCAAATAAAACACCTATCACTCATTGAGCAAAAAACTTTCCCACAGCGCACAACAAGACCATTTTTCGGATGTTACCCTTCATCAGTCACCAAGGTCCAATGATATGATGTCAGGCGCGATCCTGAGAGCAGCTAAAGCACTGACAGCCTCTTGCAGGCGAATCCTGTGACGGACCTACTAAATCCGAGCATGGATTCCGCTCTATAGTTGAAAAAAAGGTCAAACAGTTCCCTAGAGCTTGACTGGTGCAAATTCTAATTACTCGACCTATCGGTACTAGGCGAGGCGGAGATTGGTGTAGTGAGCAAGTGGGGCGCTCACCATTCGCGCGGTCCCGGGTTCGAATCCCGGGTCGACTCCCGCCCAGGCCAACCAAGCCTTCTACCCTCCGGGGACGGTGAATTGGTACCAGATTCGTCTGGGAGGATAAAACACTGACTTGTACATCGGCTGGCCACCGCAAGTCATTGTATAGGCCACATCGCATTCAATAACCCACTACGATTCTGAATGGAAGTAGAATGCGTGCCGCATCCCACAAAGGGATTGATCAACGGCGAAGACTTTATCCTTTTATCCTTTTTATGGGTACTAGGGGCACCCCGAACCGGATTACTTCGACGGCGTGTCGTTTTGCTTCATTGCATCAAGTAACTTGCGTAGGAAAAATAATGGCTGACGTTTTCGCAGGAAAAAGTGAAAGCAAATAGTTGAAGATAACCATAGACAATACCTACACGGCATCTCTATTGAAGATGGTTCGAATCCTAATACAGCTTTGGGAAGGGCTATTGATACATGAACACCATCAGCCAATGAATGTAGACAGACATGCAGGGGTTTTAGCTGAAGCTTTCTTAGCGCTCATTAGCGGACACACGAATATACCAGGCATTTAATTCTTCCTAACAGGAGAAACACCTGAAAATGGACGTTCGCTGTAACGTAATAACCACCTCCGAGACATAAAATTTCCTTTTTTTTCAATTTTTTTCCTGATATATTTTCAGATGGCACAATGTCTATTGCAGTGCTATATACTTCACGGCTTGACCGATTTTATAGCGCGATTCGGGGATATAACTGAGATTCACTATGCTACACCATGAGGACATCTTCAACGGCTAATACAATCACACTCAAGATTCTTTTTTCAAAGATTGCTGTTGCCCAACGATAAGTGTTAGAGAGCGTTTGGTCGTCACGGTCGCTCGTCTGGGTCATTCGAGTTGTGAAGAAAGCAAATGCCCAGTAAACTTGGGTAGTTAAGTCGTATGTGAAAACCGCCTTCCAGAATCTAGAATTAAAATAAAACTAAAAAACATCAGCAGCACTCATAGGATTTGAGCTTCGATTACGTTCGGCGTAAATTTTGGCTTTTATTTGCATTTTTTTTGTTTTGACTTATCAGATGCATGAATGTTGTTGTACACAGCAGAAAGATAACTTTCAGGAAAAATTATCAATTTTTTTCGATCTAAGCATAAGAGGAAGAAGGATAACCAGAATGAAGAACCTTACCAATCCCATAACCATGAACGTGGGATGATAATGAAATTCACGCTCAGGATCTTCGGACCATGAAAATCCGTCTTCATAACCCCCCATCCAGATCGCCACCAGAAGGATAGCCAAACCTCCTGAAAACGTCTTTTTCAACCTTCCAAAAGACTTGAGTCAATCACAGTCAGAATTACAGTTTATCCAATAATCGATCAACATCTACCGAATGCTTGTGAGATGACGAGCATCACATTGAACAGCTTCACGCTCTGATCTTCTCGGAGCAAGGTAAAATGCGGATCGAACAGCAACGCCATCACTCTCTAACGTGGCTCCCCTGGAACGAAGTCACTTGAGGAAAAACATTTGTCGATTAATCAATTCCAAGTCGGCAGCTGCGAAAGTCACAGACACAAGAAATTTGCCAAAACAAAAGAGAAAGATGTAGAGCAGAAAGATTTCCTTTCAAGCCACGTAGACCTCATGCTCGCAAAGTTTCTAGCTCAGGAAGCGTGAGCACCAGGTTAGATTATTGGCTAGGGCCTAACGTTTTGAGCATATCTCACCATTACCTTTCTTGAAAGTAAATTAAAAGTTATGGAAACAAAGTGCAAAATATGTTAAACCGATAGCTATCAAGAAGTGGGCGAAATCCACCTGCCAAACCGAGCATGCTTGGCCGTCCAGAGCCCATGCTTTTCAGAGAAGAAGAAGGAATTCTGGGACGTAATGCTGATGTTAAAATTAGATCCATTAGCTCTCTGAAGAGTCCCTAGGGGCTTTCCCGGAGACAAAGCATTCACACAAAGCATTCTTTTGAAAGCACTGGCAAGCCTGACCAATTATAAAGTTTCAAAGGAATCGATCTAAGCCGGAACTTAAAGAAATTCTCAAGAGTTCTACCGCTGAGAATGGGATGACGACTCAACAGTGAAATAACTCAATGAAGCGGAAAAAGGTAGCCTTCACACACTTTCCTATTCAAATTCAAGTGCAACACAAGTGTATGAAAGCGACAGGTGCCGTGCTGCAGTTTCGTATTGAATTATTCACTCAGCTGAAGAGCTCTAGCCAACACTTGAATAATTGTTATAAGTAGAAATGCATGTTCCTCGAAGAAATCAGGTCTCGAAAAATAAAAAGATGCGCGAGCGGACATGTTAAGGTAGTGCTTCCCTGTATTCTGCCCATTTCGTAATGTTTCTTAGCGATTCAAAAAAAACTAGTTACTAAGCATACGAATGTCAATGAATTGAATGCTAAGACTAGGTAGGAGTGTTGTCTAGGAAATCCATGTTGAAACGTTGCCGCTATGCGACTACCGTCACGTCCGTGGCGCTCGCACCACCACAATCAGATCTTTAAGGTCGAAGTGCTGCAGTATATCGCGCCAAGTATCTAGGATGTACTTTGCTGATTTCTGTATATCACAACATCTTGGAGGTCCTAGACGATGTCTACGGATCGCAAAAACTTGAGGACATACGGGATCGGGAAGTGGGGGATTTTCCACAGGCATGGTCTGATCAAATAATGGATCAAATCACACTAGGCCAAACCTTCGGTATTACCGAAAACGTTCATTAAATAAGAGGAGAACAAACATACTGAAAAAATTATGCAGGGCAATGAGCCTCTTTCTGGGCCGATACGCGCTCGCAAAGCTATCGCGATGGAAGTGGAATTTATGGCGCGAGGAAAGAATAAAGTGAACTCGAGTGGATTTATGCTCTTCATATGGAGCTGTGACATAGAGTATTAGCGCTAAAACAGCTTCTACTAATACTAACCATCGTTATGTTAAGGAGTGACATCGACTATTTGTTAACCCAACGGATAGCGCATCCTTAGGTCAAAAAGTCTGTGAGATAGTGGGTTCGAATCCCAGCCGCAGAGTAAGACTCCTGGCCGCATAAAAACAGCTACTTCTGTGTTGCGGCGTGAATTGTCGGATTGTTATAATAACGCGGAATTGTCATAAGTGAGAGCAACGGTGTGTAGCATCTCTTAACACATTGGTCGGCGAGCGGGCGCGGGCCCCGGGCCCCCGCCCGGCGCGCGGGCCCGGCGGCGGCGCGCGGGGGCGCGCCCGCGGGACCACATATCAACACCACAACCAGTTGTTGGTCTTCGTCGCGCCCACGCTGCCCGAAGGGGAAGGTGGTCAGTGATGGTGGTAAAGGCTTCAGCTGTCTATCACACAGGTGGTGGGCGTCGTCGCCAATACGCTAAAAATTATTCCCATACCAGACCAAAGAGAAACATCAAGAAAAATTAGACTGGCTTAAATATGTTCCTCTGTTGAAGTGCGCCACCAATACGTTATCGCTCTGAGGAAAATAGCGAAATGCCTGTGTGAGTTCGCTATCGGTATTAGGTGGTATCAAATGTAGAGCGTAGCCAAAAATCTGTGCACAAATAAAGAAGGATTTTTGCTGGATCTCAGCTAACGAACTCACAGCGCAGTTCGCTATTCTGCTCAGAGCAATAACGGATTGGTGGCGCGACAACAAGAAGGAACATATTTAACCAGTCTTATTTTTCTTTCCTCACCAAATGCCACTGTACTGCGTGTCAAGAAAAAGGAGACGGCAAAAATAAATAAATGAGCAAAGGAAAAATGAGGCCGAAGTAACTAGCAGTTCATGCCCGAGAAATGACTTCAAAGAAATGAAAAGAAAAAAGAGAAAAACATGTGAAAGAACCCTAGCTGGCTAGAGAAGTACTGTTTGGAGTTCCACCCATGGAAATGCCCCAGTATAAGTCCTTGGCCAAAAACAAAAACAATTACGTCGGCTCGCAGAGGATCCACTGCAGCAATCATCTGCGGGTTTTAATAAGATTACAAAAGCGACTTCCTTCGTCAAACACCGCTTGAAAATACTACACTTGAACAAGAAAGGTAAAAGCAGTGAAAACTTATCAAAGGAAAATAAGCGGAATACCACATCCCCTAAGCCGAGACACTAAGTGGGTTAAAAGTAGATTTCGACAAGCCGATGTCAAGTTCGAGGGTGGCGAGGTTGGAAAACAGAACTATGATTGAAGAAGAATGAGAAAGGAGGATGTATGTCTAGACAAGAGCGTAGGAAAAGCTTCCGACGCTGTGTCGAGCATGGCACACCGTTGTGAGGAATGTCCAGACAGGGGCCGTACTTGCTCGCTGGAGGGGCGAGAGGATCGTATTTGGCTAGAAGAGAACAATTTTCCTGTCGCTGATTTGGTCTACTGCACGTACACTGTATATTCTCTGTTCGGTGGCGCTGCATTTCTATTTTTGGTGACTGTTCGGAGATGGCTGCTCCAACCCCTCCCCCCACCCGCTAAAGATAAGTTTTGGGAAATTTATAAGGATCGGTGGATAGTGGAAAAGGGGTCGTACCGGAGGTGAAAATGGGGGATCGCATTCAGCCCTCCCCTCCCCTCCAACACTATGACGTGCTCTGGCGTCGAACTCCTATTGATCAGATCTCACATAAGCTTGACAGGGATCGAATATCTGCGTACTATCTAAGATAGTCATTCGGTTAGCTCCAAATCTGTCGAGAAGTACGAAAAATCAATTAAACGTAGGCGTTTTGGTCGGTCATCCCGCATGTTAAATACGCAGTTGATGCCCCTACAATTCTATATCAATCGAGGAGATTTGTATGCGTAGTAACACAATGCTGGTCATTCGTAGGGCTGGCCTTGTGCAGAACTAGAATTACCGTAGTCAAGACGGGGACTCTTGTCTGGGCTCAAAGAAGAGCTCCAGCGTAAGGCAATACGAAGTATAATAGTTTAATTCGTGTGACGATACTCTTAGCTCTGCAGAGTCCTTGGAATGTTCCCCACCCCCCCCCCCCCCCTCGATGATGTTAGCTCTGCAGAAAGAGTCCTTGAAATGCCTCTCCCCCCTCGATAACTATTAGCGCCAGTTTTTGCAGTCATCACCTCGATGTAAGCTCCCGGCTCGTCAAAATAAACGAGGGCTGTCTAATTTTTACTATAGCAGTGATAGACCAATATTCATCTAAACCATGAGAGCTAGGGCTGAAAACACAATAAATGTCTTTGCTGTTCATTTAGTAGGCCGTATGAGGGCGCTTTCATAGTTAATATTCATGAGCGTCATATTGACTGATCACCAATCGCGAAATCCACCAACTTAAGACGATCAATGAAAAGAAACAGAAACAGGAACACTCCAAAACTCGAATAAAGTGGAAAAAGTAACGAAAACAATAAGCAAGGCAAAAAATGAAAGAACTCACGGCTATCAGGCGCATGGAAAAAAAGAACGTTAATGAGCAAGTGAACGAGGTGCTATGAACCATAGCAACGGCTGAGTGTATCAATGATTTGGATCACTTCCTTCTGACAGATGTAAGAAGCGGTGCAGGCAGGGAAC